GCTGGTAAGTGCATTCCTGCACACCCTTCCTCCTCCCCCTCGTCTTTTCCTCTGGTTCCTTTGGCGTCCTCCTCCTCCTTCCTCCTCCCCTCCCCTGTCCCATCCTCTCCTCTCCTCTCCTCTCCTCTCCTCTCATCATCCTCATCCTCCTCCCTCATCCTCCATCCTCCCCTCTCCTCTCCTCTCCTCTCCTCTACTCTCCTCTCCTCTCCTCTCCTCTCCTCATCTACCCTTGCCCTTGTAATCTCCACCTGCAGGCCAAGAGAGAGCAGATGAATCACATTCAAGAGCTCAACAGGCATGGGGAAGGAGCAGCCTCACCTCTCAAGTGACGAGGGCGCAGGGAACGACGAGAGCGCATGCGCAAGATGGAGGAAGAAACGAAGCTGTCGAGACTAGAGAAGGTCAGGGAAGGGCGGGGGGGGGGAGGAGGAGGAGGGAGACTGGAGCTAATGCAGCATGTGGCAGATCAAATGGATGGCGGAGAAAGTCTGCTCCTCCTCTCTTCCCCTCCCCTCCCTGACATGCTTGGGCAGGACGAGGCTCAACGGCAGCTGATCGTGGAGCGACAGCAGCAGGTGCGAAGGCAGAGGACAGCTCCCATCCCCTCACTCACGGGCAGATGCTGCGCGAACTGGACGAGCAGGAGGCGGAGAGAGAGGAAGCAGAGAACGAGTGGCTACAGGTTCCCTGGCAGTCTCCTCTCCTCACCTCCCTCTCTCCTCTCCTCTCTTTCCTTGCCTCTGCTCACGCTCTCCTTTCAGTCTCGCCTCGAGCGCGAGGAGCTCGAGCAGCTAGAGTTTCAAACCTTTCTTCACTTTCGAGAAGGTTCACAGAAGACCATCCAGAAGAGTCAGGTTCTGTTCTTTCCTCCCCTCCTCCCCTCCTCCCCTCCTCTCCTCTCCTCTCCTCTCCTCTCCTTCCTCTCTCCCTCGATGTGACTGGAGGGCAGGAACTGGGGCAGCAAGCGGAGCTCGAGGCTCGCCGACGGATGCAGCAGCTCCAAGTGAAGGCGGCGGAGGAGAGGTAGAGGAGAGCGTGCGATGCCTGCCGTTGGTGACGGGGAACAGATGGGAAGCAGAAGATGAGCAGATGGCAGCAGCAAGACGGTAAGAGCAGCAGCAGCAGCAGCAGCAGCAGCAGGGAGGGAGGAGGAGGAGGAGCAGCAGCAGCAGCAGATCTGAAGGAATGGCAGGCTGATGATGGAGGAGACGAATCAGCATCTGGCTCTCCATGCTCAGGTGAGCTGCTGCTACAAGGAAGAACGAGTGACGGGGACACAGACGGAGACGAAGATGACGGCAGAGTGCCAGATGAAGGTGAGGGAGGAGGAGGGGAAAGAGGCGAGGAGAGGAGAGGAGAGGGGAGGGGAGGGGAGGGTAAGAGGAAGGGAGAGGGAGAGAGGGGGAGGAAGTACTGAGTTTGATCCAGCTGGAGGATGAGCGACTCAAGAGCATGTTGCACAGCATCGACCTGAAGCGACGAGCGAGACTCTTGACAGAAGAGCAGAGCTCGCAAGCTCAGCGACGAGAGGTGACGGGGGGACAGGACGAGGACGAGGAGACTGACTGATGGTCGTGCAGGACGAGGAGGCTAGGCTGGAGAGGACAATGGTTGCGCAGGTGAAGGAGGGGGAGAAGAGGAAGGGGGGGGGAGGCTGTGCGGTTGCTCAGAAGGGCATCAGGAAATGCGACAGCTGGAGCAGGTCGTCAAGTACAAAGATCTCGAGATGCAGAAGATGATGGTAAAACCTCCTCCCTCCTCCCTCCTCCCTCCTCCCTCCTCCCTCCTCCCTCCTCCCTCTTTCTCTTGCTGTTCTCTCCGATCGCCTTCGCTTCACTGTTCCTCCCTTCCCTTCCTCTCCCCTTGACTCTGCTCCCTCACTTCGATCGCTTGCAACAGACTGAAAAAGCTGAGATGATACGCGCGGAGAGAAAAAGAATCGAGCAGAAGAAGGTTGTTCCTCTCCTTGCCCACTCCTATTTCTTCTTCTTCTTCTTCTTCTTCTTCTTCTTCTTCTTCTTCTTCTTCT